CACAGCTGGACGCAGCACTCCAGGTGGGGTCTCCCCAGAGCGGAGCGAAGGGGGACAACCCCCTCCCTCACCCTGCTGCCCACGCTGCTCTGGATACAGCCCAGGATACGGTTGGCTTTCTGGGCTGCCAGCGCACACGGCCGGCTCATGTTCAGCTTTTCCTCCACCAATTCAGTAAGGGAAGTCTAGTGAGAAGTGAAACTCACTCCTTTATCATACATCACTATATCACTTGAGCATTTGGGGCCACAAGGATCTTTTTCCTCACCTCTTCCTCTTTAGCCACCTAATGCAATGGCGCCATCCAGCACTCGCCAGGTACATGTCTTAAGACAGGCACTTTGAAGCTATTAATATATCGTCTGTAGCTTAAAAATGTAAAATCTCTGCATTTCCAGCAATTGCTTATAATACTGTAGCTGCACTATTGCTTGCACAGGTAGGTACAAGGATATCGTAGGAGGATACAGCTGCCAGCAGCAGAAAAGTCACCTGCAACAAGACTGGGCAGAAATCCAGTAAAAAATCAAGGCAGAAGTGGTGCGGTTTTGTCCCAAAACCTGCACATGGCTGGAGGGTGGAACAGGAAAACGGAAGGTCAGAAATTTCTGCAGCTGAGCTTTTATGTAGAGCAAAGCTTTTCAGGAGAAACCCGCATAGTTGTGGTAGTCTGATTTCCCACTCAAGATCACCCTCTGTATGAGGCACCTGTTTCGGAGAGCTGTGGATTGCTTCGGAGGTGATAAATGGGGAAAAAAAAGCACCTCTGCAGATAACAGGCTGTAGATACAGTTCAAGTGCTGCTGAAGCTTCAGAGCGGTATGGCATTCGTTAAAATTATTAGGAAATTATCAACTAAGGAGGCTTTTAGAAATCATTTTGTATCAGATAAATACTTGAACCTTTCCAACACTACTTCTAACGAAGAGGCTGTGGTAATTGGCCTGTCAACACTTCCTCTACCTCCCTTCATAATAACTAGCCAGTTTCGACCAAGTAGGCAGCAGTTGCTTTCTGTCACAGTGCTTCATGTATGAACTTGTGTTACTGTTTACTGCCTAACAAGAGGTAAGTTTTTATATATAAACTCTAAGCAAAGAGATATTTGGCAAGGTAGCCCAGGCAGAACTTACATCCCTAGATGAAGGGTGAAGGCAAGGACTGGGAGAATGGAG